GGAGGAAGGAAGAAAAGGCCCAGAGAAATTCCTGTTGCTCTTTGAAACCTAATAGAGGGTTTGCTTAATGTTCAGCTCTTTCCTCTGAACTGATAATATGAGACTTAAAAGCTGGGAATTTTTAGGTCTTCATGAAATTTTAAAAATCTTTTCATTTAAACAGAACAAGCATACAGTCAGTGCTTGCAGTGTGCAGAGCATCAATGGGTATTTTCTGTTTTAATCAACTTATTATTTGTTTTCAACTTTTTATTATTAATTGAATGAAGGTTTACAGAACAGATCTTTTTTTTTTTTTAATGTTTTATTGTGAATTATGTGATAATTTACATGGGAGAACATTAGTTTTACATTCATTCCATGGTATATCATCTCATTGCCATGGTTACAATCCCCTCCATGCAATCCTTTCCCAGTACCCCCCAGGTCTTCAGCACACAGTCGCTCTCCCTCTCTGGATCTAAAGTCTCCAGCTGCTCCATCGCTCCACGTCATTATCTCTGGCTCAATTTCAGACATCACTGCTTCTCTGGGTAGGGTCCCGCTCTCAGAACAGATCATTTTTACATTCATATTCTTTGCTTCATTACATGGCTGCAATCCCCTCCAGGTACCAACAGGTACCAGTATTTACCTCTATTCACTTTATCTATTACATTCCTCTGTGTCTCCTGTTACCTTCATTTTTCATTTGCTAGCATTGGGCTGCTAACCTCACAGTCAGCAGTTTGAAACTACTAGCTGCTCTGAGAGAGAAAGATGAGGCTTTCTGCTCCCTTAAAGATTTATAGCCTCGGAAACCCTGTATAGGGTTGCTATGAGTTGGAACCGACTCCGTGGCACATAACAACAAGCCTCCTTCTTATTATATATTGCTTGCCCTGTCACCTGTGTTAGCATGTGTCTACCCTTTAGCTCATGAATAATTTTCTCAGTGGGCATCTTGATGAATTTTTTACACATGTACACAACCACATAACTACCACCCTATCAACATAAATAACCTTTTCATCACCAGAGGGTTTTGACTATTTTTTTCCCTTAAAGTTGTTATTGTGAATTGAGTGATAGTTTACATGGGAGAACATCGGTTTTACACTCATAGTTTCATTGCATTGGAAGGTTTTGACTTTTATCATCAAAAATTAGCTTTGCTTTTTCTAGAATGTCGTCTAAATAGAATCATATAGTATCACCAGACATGAGTACTTGGTTCCTTTTCACTGTTGGAGTGGTAACCCACTGTATAAATAGGTCACTTTTGTTTATCTATTCTGTTGATGGACAGTTATCCTACTTCCTCCCTGTGGCTCTCCATTTATACCTTCTATCTCACAAATGAACAAGGCAAAAATATTTGATGTACACTTACAAAACAAAACACTATTCATTTAAATGAAAGTCCTAGTTCTGATCATGCAACAAATGAAAAATAGGGAGATGACTCTAGGGAAGAAATAGAAAGATGCTTTAGGGGTTTGTGGGGAAGACATGAAAACTGGAGCATCTAATATTGTCTGAAAAGAGAGGGTGTTTGCTTGAGGGCAAGAGAAGTGTGAGGCAGAGAACTGTAGGATTGTGAAATGTTGGGACGAGAGATTGGGTCCTATTCCTAATCTTAACCACGTGGAGGGCAGAACAGGGTTCTTTTCAGGGTCCTCTTTATCTGTTTTCCTAGCACCAAGAATAATGCCTGACAGATACCAGGGACTTAGCCCATGCCTAGGGACTGGATGAGGGACTCAGGTCCAGGAGATAGGAGGCAGGTCTGGGGACCTTCTGTAGTCCTGAGCACACTGGGGCACCAAACTCTGAAGCCCTGAAGCCTATTCAAAGAGATCTCATTGTTGAAGCTAGTCTTGGGTTTGAAATAGGCAAATGAAATTGGAAATTCAGTGTGTTTAAACTTGTATTTTAGCTCCAGAACAAGTCTCAACCAATTTGTAATTGGATTAATAATTGGTTCCTGAATTCTCAGGAGGAAAAGACATAAATCAGTAATTCAATACAATCTTCCCAATCTGGTTGCCATCCAGTCAATTCTAAATCATGACGACTCCTTGTGTTGTAGAATAGGACTGCGCTCCATAGGTTTTCATGACTGTGATCAAATTTTGGAAGCAGATCACTAGGCATTCTTTGTGAGTCACTCTGAGTGGGGTCTAACCACCAAACTTCAGGTTAGTAGCTGAGAGATCAACTGTTTGCAATACCCAGTTGTTGTTGCTGTTGTCAAGTGCCGTTGAGTTGGTTCCAACTCAGAGCAACCCAGTATAGGGTTTCTAAGACTTTGAATCTTTGTGGGAGCAAAAAGTTTCATCTTTTACTTTAGATGGACTGGTGGGCTTGAACTGCAGACTTGTGGTGCATAGTCCGGTGCTTACTGTATGGAGCCACAGCGCTACCCAGTTATTGTTGTTGTTAAGTGCCATTGAGTTGATTCCAACCCATAGCGATCTTGTATAGGGTTTCCAAAGAGCAGCTGGTGAGCTTGAACCACCGATCTTGTAATTCAAACGACTTTGCAGTCTGATGCATTAGCCATGGCACCACACTAGGACTCCTATAATTCTCCAAAGGGCGCCAATATTCCCAGATGATAAGTAATAAAAATGGCAGGATAAGTAAGAGATGGAAAAGAGTGGGACTGGTGTGCTTCTGACACTCGAGGTCGGGCTCTGTGCCTCCTTCTCCATGAAGCCTTCTGTGATCTCATAAGATACCAGAGGATCAGTCAACAGTAGAGAGGCAGGGCCTCTCAGCACACGTGTGGCCTTAAGGCTGGGTTTCTCTGGGGTTTTAATGTTTAGGTAGCAAGATGTCTAGATAAGTGCTCCTGGTCCGAGATGGGATGGGGCCTGCTAGGTTTACCTTATAAACCATATAGGGTAGGATGAGATTTCTGAAATAATACCTCACCCATCTTCCACCATCCACTTGTCCTTTCTATACCAGTGCCCACTTAGTTTATTGCCTCAAGAGTGGAAAAGCAAAATAACTGTTGAGTCTCTTGATTTCAGTCTTCTTAAATTTTTAGGGAGCTTAAGGCTCTCATCGGTCTCTCCCTCTCCCATCTCCCACCCTGTGACACATACCTTGTTTCCTTCCCCTTCACTCACTCCATTCCAACCCAAGGGTCTTTTTGCTCTTCCCTATGCTCTTCAAGGAGCCCTGGTGTGTCACTGTAGGATAAGCACCGGATTGCAAAACTGATTTGAACCACAAGATCAGGGGTTCAAACTCACCAGCCACCCCTTGGAAATATGTAGGGTTGTTATGAGTCAGAACCGACTCAACGACACCTAACAACATGACTTGGAACAGATTCAAAGCACTTAACAAATGCTCCTCAAGCACATGCTGTTCCTTCTACCCAGAACCCTTTATGTCATCTCCTCAGGTATCATTTCCCTTCCTCACATCCTTCCAAGTCCATGTTCAAAGGCCCCCTTTCCTGGGGGCCTTCTTAGACCGCCATGGCATTCTCAGTCCCTCTCTCAGCACACGGACTCTCAAAAAGTTCTTCTCACCAGCAGACACACTGTGCCAGCTAGGGTTTGATGCAGAAGTGATTTCCTGTGGTTTTTTTTTTTTTTTACATTTTTAACCTTCCAGTAGGGTCTATTACAATACACTGAGAGAAGGGAGTAGTAAGTTTGACAAAATAGATGCCCGAAATATCAAGTTGTGTGGTTGTTGAGTGTCCTTGAGGCAGTTCAACTCAAACAGCCTGTATAGGGTTTCTGAGGAGCAGCTGGTGGGTTTGAACCGCTTATTGACCTTATGCTTAGCAGTCTAATGCTTATCCTATAGCACTACAAGAGGATTCCCAAAACCACTTTGCCTTGAATCCTGGCTCCACTGATCACTGGCTCTGCGACTTTAATAAATTTCTTTTGCATTTTGAATCTGCTTCTCCTTCTGTAAAATGGAGATGATATTCACACCTCCCTGAGTTAAGAATTAAAGCTCCTAACACATCCTTCATCTGGATGGCCTCTAATGCATTTTCCTCCTTTATTTCTCCTCTTTGGGGCCTACTTGCCCTCTGACAGCACAGGCCTGATGGTCAAAACCAGTATAGTTCCCTCAGTGTTCTTCGCTCTGGTCTGGTGGGGCTGCCTGTCTCATCCACTGGCTCAGAACTCATGCACATTAGATGCCCTCAGCAGTAGGTGAAAATGGGTGCTTTTCCTGCCTCTTTCTTTAAAGAAAAGTACTCCTGGGATCACAAGCCTGTTTCTTCTGCTCCTGAGCACCAGGAACTCCCTCCCCAAGGTCCGTCTGGGCTTGTTCCCCTCATCCCTTCCCCAAGGTTCACAGGGTGTGACTCTGGGGACTATGCTGCCGGTATTAGCTCTCCTTCCACATTCCCATCTCTCTCCCGCCAGTCTCAGCACAGCAGACTGCTCCCTCTAATGGCTAATGCTTTTGTGGAGGGTTTGGAGTTAGAGCTAAAGGACAAAAAGCTAAGCTGTCCTCCATGGCTCATCCAGGCCAGATGCTGTTTAGATTCCATTTGTTTTTGTTCTAATGCCTCCTCTTTTAAACTCTAAAAGAAGGCCTTTTGGAGACCTTTTGACCTCAGTTTTCAAGATTGCAGATTTGGGTTTTTTTTACAGTATTTAAACCACTGTTCTCTCCGGGTGTGAATCAGAGCTATGAAGAGGCCAGAGGGAAACAGTGAGTAGAAAATCTTATCAAAACCAAATCCTGCTCTTTTGAAAAATGCATTCTCCAAAGCAACTTCCAGGAATGACAAAGTGGGTTTAATTTTACATGGATTTTATAAGGGCTGCATTATAAGAAAGAGCTGATAAACCCAATAAAATCATATGGAGAAACAGGCAAAGTAAAAATTAAAACACGGTCCCTCAGAGTCAGTCATTTTTGCTCGACCCCCTCCTTCCCTCTCTGCGGCAGGAACTCCTACTCCGGAGCTTTGCTGCAACAGCACTGCCCATGCATGCTCAACGAAGAGACTCAGACCACGCCAGCCATGCCACGAGTTGTGTTTTATTTTCATTAATCATACAAATAATTTTCTATAATATCCCAGGGCAAACCGGAGGATTTGGTAGTCCCTTCAGAGACCCGTAGACCGATGGGTGGCATCGGCGCGGAGTGCCCGGGTTCACAGTGCAGCTTGTCACTCGTGTCCATCTTGCAGGTGGCTCTTCCTCCACATTACGACTGGGATTTCGAAGATGATGGGGGTAGAGAATCCTCCAGGATTAGGAAATTTCACTCCTCTTCTCCTGCTCAATGGCTGTGGAGAGGGGGAAGAGGACACCTTGCAAATCTCCAACCATACACAAACCTGGTGTGGGCGAGGCACCCACGAGGTCTGGGAATTAAGAAAGAGGCTTGGGGCTGGCAAGACAAGGCATTTCGTGTAATACAGAGGGTGACTGGGACTGCCCAGATCGGGGGGCATGGGCGGGGTCCTGGGTTGGTAGGAGAAGGGCGGGTTGGGGGGTTGGGCTGGGGGGTCCAAGAATCGGGGGTGGAGACTGGGGGGCCCAAAGATCGGTAGGCGGGGGCGCACTCACTCTCTTTGGTCGGCAGGGTGTTCTTCTCCTGCGTCTCCGTTTTCTTCAGCTTGGCTTTATCGAAGCTGGCGATTTCCCCCATGTCTGGCTTGTCTGCCATTTTCTTAAGACAATCCTAGTAGGCAAACCAAAGCTGTTGGCCCGGAGCAGCGAGGCTGGGGGCCAGGGTCCCCCTCCACGCTCATGGCCAACGTCTCTCGACGTGGCACTCCTGTCTGGGCGTTCCCGGCAGCCCAAGGCCGAGGGTCTGGCCGCGCCCCACAACCCCTCTGTAGCCCGGGAAGTAGCCGGCCCCGGCGTCCAGTCGGGGAAGGGCGCCTGTTGCGGCTGCAGCGCGCTTGCCGCACGCACCGGTTCGGGCCCCACCACAGTCAGGCCCCCACCCCAGCGCAGAGCTCACCCTGGCGTCCCGCTCCCAGCTAAAGCTGTGGACACTCCGACTCTTGTTGCTGCAGCAAGAGACAAAAGAGTGGCGCCCGCTCCTCGCTTTATATACGCCGCACCCCGCCCCGCCCAACGCCCGCCGCAGCGGGGGCGGTGCTGGCATCGGAGGGGCGGGGGCAGCACTGGCTGCTCTCCTCCGCGCCTCGCCCTTCTTTAGTCTGCTGGCGGGGCTGGATACTTCTCCTCTCGCGCTGCGAGCCCAAACACCCAGTTCCCCCCAGCTCGCCCTGCTCTGGTGTAGATACTATAGGCGCTTCCAGGATGGACGCCTCTGGCGACATAGCCCCGGGTTTCCTTCTGGGGTTCCACTCCTCCCCACTCTGGAATCTGCTGCTTCCAGCAGAAAGGGCGTGGAGGCCGGCGGGAGAGTTTGTGTGGTTTGTTCGTGCGTTAGTGTGTGTTTGTAGTTGTGGGTGTAGATTTGTGAGCGTGCGCCTGCTCTGCAGCAATCTCTGCTGGAGACACCCTACCTAGTGCGGCCCCCATCTCTGTTATCTAAGCCTCTGCAGACCCTTCCCCGCCCACACTTTTCCTCATTTCGCGGAGTCTGAGCCTTTACGTTGTCTTACAGAGTGGGAACCGAGGATTTTAGAGCTGCAGGGGAGGAGACCAAATAGGGTTCTAGTGCTGTTTGCTCAGGTTAGGGGCCAGTTTCCCTCTTGTCCCCCATCCTCAACTGGGCGGGTCCTGCAGAAACCATGGCGGCCAGGGCTTCTTAAATGCTTGTTACTTGCATTGTCTGAAGGTTAGTGGTGGGAGCTGGGAGTCCCGAGAGGTCTGAGGTCTTTCAGAGGCCTCCTAGGAATTCAGTCGGAGGGAGTGGTTTTCCTTCTTAAAGACGATTGCACCCAAATTCCTGGAAATGTCCCTGGTCTTCTTATTAACCCTTTGTAGCCCTATTCAAATCTTTCAGTTTGTGCAACATCTTTAGGTAATAAATTCCATAAATTAACAACCCACACGAGGTGAAGCTAGTTATTGTTTTATTTGTCCTGAACAGTAAGTTAAAGTGTCAAGGAATATTATTACCAAGCTCCGTTATAGTGGGGCTTGGTGAAAATAACCTGAATTCTGTCCAATCCTTTCCTAATCTCGCCTACTTTCCTCACATTCCTTCAGTGTATTTGGGACAGTAGTAAAAGTTTAGGATTATGAATCTGATAAACCAAACTCCATGTGTGACCCTGTGCAAGTCTTTTCCTGTGCCTCCGTTTCTGCAAAATAGGGTTGGTATAAATCTTAAACTCAGAGTGTCACTGTGAGTCAGACTCTTTTGGAGGGCAGTGGGTTTTTGTTTCATAAAGCCGAAATAAGTTTTATAAAGCTTAACCCTGATGGTGCAGTGGTTAAGCACTCTACTGGAAAGTTAAAGGTTCAAACCTACAAGCTGCTCTGCCTCCTTTGAAGATTTGCAGTCTTCTTCTGTAAATATTGTCAGACTTGGGAATCCTGTGGGGGTAGTTCTGTGTCCTTTAGGATGGCTCTGAGTCAGAATTAGAGTCCATGACAGTGGGTTTTGGGTTTTTGTTGGCAATGCTAAAGTGCTCAGCTGATAACTGTAAGGGTGTTGTTATGTGCCATGGAGTTGGTTCCAACCCATAGCGACCCTGCACAAGGTTTCCCGGGCTATAAATCTTTATGGGAGCAGAAAGCCTCATCTTTCTCTAGCTGAACAGCTGGTAGTTTCAAACTGCTGACCTTAAGGCTCACAGCCCGATTCATAACCACTACGGTACCAGAGCTCCTTACTGGAACCCTCCAGCCACTCAGTAGGAGAAAAAACCTAGTGACCTGCTCCCATAAAAACTTCTTGTTGTCGTGAAGTGCCGTGGAGTTGGTTCTGACTCATAGAGAGCCTGTATAAGGTTTCTGAGGAGTGGCTGATGAGCTTGAACCGCTGACCTTGTGGTTCAAACTGACCAGGCAGTCCAGTGCATTAACCTGCAGCGCCACACTAGGACCCTGCCATAAAGATTACAGCATAAGAAACCCTCTGGAGTAATTGTACTCTGCCATGTAGGGTTGTTATAAGTCGACCTTTGACTCAGCACACATCACCACCAACAAAAAGCTTAAATGAGGTAAAGAACAGGCGTCAAGTGTATGTTTAAAATAGCCTCATTAAATTTTACATTCCCACTTTGTTTTGTGTTATCAGACAACCACTGTCACAAAAATGCTATAAAACAAATTGCTCCCAAACAAATAGCTTAAAATAATCATTATCTGTAGGGTCAGCTGGTGCTGGGCTGGTCTAAGCTATACCTGATTCTAAACCTTGGATTGAATCCAGGTCTACTCCATAGGTCTCATCCTCTCTAACCAAGGGGTTAGCTGGAGCTTATTCTTCCCTGAATGATGACAAAAGAGAGCTGTATTTCTTTTCTTTCTTCAACTTTTTATTGTGAGTTGAATGAAGGTAAACAGACAAGATCATCAGCTTTCCTTTTAATCAATCATACATTTTGTTTCATCTCAATGATTACTTTCCCCTCCTGGCAACAACTGTTATCTTGCTTCCACCATGTGGCTTCCCTTTAACATCTTATTCTACATCAATGAACAAAGCAAAAATATATGATATACACATACAAAACAAATATATATTTATTTAAATATCCAAAGGGCATATTCTGCAAGCCAGCCTCCTGCCCGCAGGCACACAGCCTTCCTCAGTCCATGGGCCTAGAGTCTTCAGCTGCTTTATCTCTCTATGCCATCGTCTCTGCTGTTGCTGCTTTTCTAGGTAGGATGCCATGCTTCACTCATAAAAGAGCTGTATTTCAAAGATTATGAAAATGTTCAAGTGTGTATAAATGTACATTGGGTTTTTGCTAGCATCATGTCCTAGCATCACATTGGCCAAAGCAGATAGTAAGTCCAAGTTCAATATCAATGGTTTAGGGCAGGTAATATTCCACCCATGGTGGACAGGGAGATGCATGAATATTCCCTGAACAATTAATTATCCAACTTCACAGTCAGGGAATACAAACAGTCCCAAAGTGGGTTTCTACAGTAATTATTTACCGCTCAGTTAACAACATTCTGTGTTGGTGTTCCTGGTCAGGCAGCTTTCCTCCATGTAATGATTCAGGTTTCCAGGTTCCTTCTTTTATGTGACTGCCCTCTCTAGGTTCTGGAAGTCATTCCATCTAGCCATTGGATGGGGGAAAAAGAAGTGGAGAATGAAGGACTACATGGACGTTGTTAGGATTTAGGCATGGGAATAATCTCCATCACTTCTGTCTTTACTTCTTTGGCCAGTTCTCAGTCACTTGGTCTCATCTAATGATGTTTTATTTGTTGGCTCTGAATCACAGGACCCTATGCACAACAGAAGGAAACACTGCCTAGTCTTGCCCCATCCTCACAATTGTTATGTTTGAGCCCATTGTTTCTGTCACTGTGTCAATCTGTCTCCTTGGGAGTCTTCTTCTTTTTCACTGATCACTTTAGCAACATGATGTTCTTTTCCAGGGACTGCTCCCTTCTGACAGTATGTCCAAAGTACAAGAAATGAAGTTTCACTATCCTCACTTCTAAGGAACATTCTGGCTTCTTCCAACACAGATTTGTTTGTTCTTTTGGCAGTCATGGTACTTTCAATATTCTTTGCCAACATCACGATTTAAATGTATCAATTCTTCATTGGTCTTCCTTATTCATTGTCCATTTTTCATATGTATATGAGGTGATTGAAAATACCTTGGCTTTCATCAGATGCACCTTAGTTCTCAAAGTAACATCTTTGTTCCTTAACACTTTAAATAGGTTTTTTGTAATATATTTGTCCAATGAAGTATGTAGTTTGACTTCTAGACTACTCCTTCCCTTCCATGACCTTGATTGTGGATCCAAGGAAAATGAAATCCTTGACAACTTCATTCTTTTCTTCACTTATCAGGATGCTGTTTATGGGTCCAGTTGTGAGGATTTTTGTTTTCTTTATATTGAGTTGTATTCCATACTGAAACTTATATTCTTTGGTCTCCATCAGCAAATTTTTCACTAAGCCTTTGATGCAGGTTTAAGCCCTTTTTGAGTTCAGCAAGCAAGGTAGTGTCATCTGCATATTGAAGGTTATTAATGAGTCATCCTCTGATTCTGATACCATGTTCTTCTTCATAAAATTCAGCTTCTCTTATTATTTGCTTAGCATACAGATGGAATCAGCATGGTGAAAGGAGATAACCCTGACGCACACCTTTCTTCTTTAAAACCACGTGGTATCTCTTTGTTCTGATTGAATGACTGCCTCTTGGTTTATGTTCCTCATGAGCACAATTAAGTGTTCTGGCATACCCATTCTTTGCAATATTATCCATAGTTTGTTTTGATCCACACAGTCGAATGCTTTTGTATAGTCAATAAAACACAAGTAAACATTTTTCTGGTATTCTCTGCGTTCAGCCAAGATGCATCCGACATCAACAATGGTATCCCTGGTTCCATGTCCTCTTCTGTATCCAGCTTGAATTTCTGGCAGTTCTCTGTCAATATACTGCTGCAATTATATTCAGCAAAATTTTACTTGCATGTGATATTAATGATATTGTTCAGTAATTTCCACATTCTGTTGGGTCACCTTTCTTTGGAATGGGCACAAATATGAATCTTTTCCAGTCAGTTGACCAAGTAACTGTCTTCCAAATTTCTTGGCATA